ATATGGGAAGAAGTGCAATCGATGTCGCCCCAGGAGAAGTGCACTTGTGGTAATTGCACATGTAATCTCGAGGCTCGAATTCGTGCCAAAGAGGACACCTCTCGGCTCCTCGATTTTCTCATGGGATTGGATGAAAACTTTAGTACTGTTCGAAGTCAAATATTGACTATGAAGCCGTCACCGAGCTTGAGTGAGGCATATGGCATTGTCTCGACAGATGAGCAGCAACGGCTCCTCACACAAAAGAGACGTCCATCTCCAGAAGCGGCGGCTTTTGCAGCTAAGAACGTCACTGATAAGGGTGATAAATCAGAAAGGAATGAGCGAGATCGGCCAAGGAATAATGAAGGCAAACCACTTTGCACACATTGTGGAAAGGTTGGGCATTTTAAGGCGACTTGTTATGAAATTATTGGCTGGCCGACTCGCGATGGTGGTGACAAACCTGAAATGAGTGAGAAGAAGCGACGTCCGCAAGGTGAGAGAGCTCTCAGAGCAGCCGCAGCTGAAACAGACGCCAATTCAGCCACTGGATTCACAACGGCGCAACTCGAACAGCTTCAGAAGCTTTTTGGTTCGTCCAAAGCAATGGATGATCCGGCAGCTCATATGGCAGGTACGTTTCTTGGCAGTTGTGAATGGTTAATCGATTCTGGCTGCAATGAACATATTACGAAAGATGAGTCTATGTTTAGTACGAAGTCATTCACTGAACGCAGTCAGCCGGTAAAAATTCCGAATGGTGATTATGTCCCAGTTAAGAGTATTGGTTCCATACAGTTGAACTCTGAGATCAAGTTGGAGCGTGTTCTTCACGTGCCTGAATTCAAGTGTAATCTATTATCTGTCAGCAGGCTAACTAAGGATAATAATGTTGCAATTATTTTCCTCCGTGATATGTGTATCCTCCAGGACTTTACAATCCAAGAACGTGATTGGGAGGGGGATTCTTCGTGATGGACTTTATTTCTTGAAGATGTTTGGCGAGCAGGAACGGTTGGCACTTGCTGCAGATGGTCAACATAAACTTCCTGAGTCAATATGGCACTCGCGGCTTGGACACCTGTCTTCGGGAAAGCTATCTCAACTTAGCTCTGTTATCTCTTTTTCGGCAGTCAAGGATAAACACCCATGTCATTCTTGTTTTCGTGCTAAGCAGAGTCGTACTCCTTTTCCACACAGTTCCATTAAGACTACATGTTGTTTCGAGTTGATACATGTGGATATATGGGGTGGTTATCAAACGGCTTCCACTAGTGGAGCTCATTATTTCCTGACTATTGTAGATGACTTTAGTCGAGGTGTTTGGGTGTACCTATTGAAATTCAAGTCGGAAGTTGCTAGCTACATTATTATGTTTTGTGAGATGGTGCAAACACAGTTCAGTCTAAAAGTTCGTCGTATTCAGGCGGATAATGGGTTAGAATTTGCGATTTCGTCACTCAGAGAATACTACGAGCATCTGATATAATACTTCGAACGAGTTGCACAGACACTCCGCAACAGAATGGCGTAGTTGAACGCAAACATCGTCATATCCTGGAGACAGCTCATGCGCTGCATTTTCATGCAGGTCTCCCAGTTCGTTTCTGGGGAGAATGTGTTCTCACCGCGGTTTACTTGATTAATCGTATACCTACGTCAGCGACAGGTAGAACCCCCATGAGATCTTGTTCGGAAATCCTGCAGCTTACTCACACCTGCGTGTGTTTGGCTGCCTCTTGTACTCCAAAGATACACATGGGGGACTCACAAAGTTTGCTGGTTGGGGGCGTACTGGTGTTTTCTTGGGATACACAACAGCTCAGAAAGGATATCGATTTTATGATTTACTCTCACGGAAGATACAGGTGTCACGTGATGCGATTTTCCATGAAGAATATTTTCCATTCCATGCGCAAGATCCACGTGAGTTACATTGGCTTCCTAACTCAGTGACCCAGGAGCTATGTAATAATCATGAAGCTACAGGGAGTGAATTCTCTACTCCACTGGTCACGCAATCCCCACAGGTTTTGGGTGATCCTGGTGAGGTTCCTGCCTCCCCGGCGCCCGTCACTAGCTCCTCGGCGCAAGGTCCCGATTCCCCTGGGCCTTCACCGCCACGAGAGGTCACTTCAGCTCCTCAGGACAGCATCATTACCACTCCGCCAAATCCCTCACCTGCCTCTACAACGCCTAGTGAGCCTGCGTTAGGACGAGGATTGCGCAATAAACGACCGCCGAGTCGTCTTGCTGATTACGAGACCGATCTGACATCGGCTTCTCATGTCCGCTACCCCATTTCTCATCATGTCTCCTATGAACGGGTTAGTCCAGAATACAAAGCTTTTCTAGCTAAAATTGACCGTATCCCAGAACCACGTACGTTCAAGGAGGCCATGCAACACGCATGCTGGCGGGAAGCTATGGCCATAGAAATTGCTGCACTGATGGCAAACAGAACTTGGCGGCTTGAGAACTTGCCTCCCGGTAAACGTTGCATTGAGTCAAAATGGGTCTTTAAGGTCAAATACTATCCTGATGGGTCAGTTGAATGGTATAAAGCATGGTTGGTTGCAAAAGGGATACACACAGATCGAGGGAGTGGATTTTCATGATACGTTTGCACCGGTGGCCAAACTGGTCACGGTTCATTGTCTGTTGGCAGTAGCGGTTAGTCAAGGTTGGTTTTTGCATCAACTTGATGTCAACAATGTCTTTCTTCATGGCGATCTGGCTAGTACGGTGAGTGAGCTCATTTGGCTTCGTTGGTTACTTCATGAGTTGGGGGTACCTCAGTCGGGTCCTACTCGTCTTTACTGCGACAACCAGGCAGCTCTTCACATTGCTGCCAATCCGGTTTTCCATGAACGCACGAAGCATGTTGAGATGGATTGTTATTTTGTGCGTGAACATTTTGTTTCTGGCGACATCCTTCCTCTTAAGGTCAGTTCTGAGCATCAGATTGCCGATCTCTTTACGATGGGTCTGGGTGCCGATCGGTTTCATTTTCTGCTCTAAGCTGCACGTTCGTGACCTTCACCGTCCAGCTTGCGGGGGCGTATTGGACCGAGAGGAGCAACGGCCCAAGTCAGTGATTCAGCCCAGCCGAGAGGTACAGCAGCCCAAGTTGGCGGTCCAGTCCAGTTCAGCATATGTTGCTTGTACGTGCATGACAAGGAGTTTCGTTTCTCCTACTCGTGTACAGCTAGGGCAAGCAGAACAAAAACTATATAATGTTGATGTAGGCCGAATGGCCATTTTACAAGTTTGCAGTGAATAATATTATCAAAGCCGGAGAGGCTGATCTCTCCCGTGGATTAGTCCTGACAAATCGTCAGGGATACAACGTAAAACCTCGTGTCTCCTTCGTTTTATTCTCGATTTTACATAGTCATAATATTATGATATGACACTGTTACATGATGAATATTATCATTGTATCATAGTGATAATATCATGATATGACACTGATAATATAATGATATGACATTAATATGATTGATACGATTATATGACACTGATAATATAATGATATGACACTAATAATACCATTATAGGACACTGATAATATAATGATATGACACTAATAATACCATTATATGACACTGATAATATAATGATATGACACTAATATGATTGATACGACAATGACATGATTTATAGGACACTGATATGATTGATATGAGAATGATAATACTACAACTGACACTTGTTTTAAAAAGTTAATTTTTCTTTGCTCAAAATATAGCAAAAAAAGATATAATTGTGTAGATCATAATTAATGCATTTTTAAATTTTGTGTTAAAACGAATGCTATATGATTCGATTACGAAAAATAAGGGATTAGAAAAAGTAGTTATTGGCTAATTAGCTGTCTCTCCTCTCTCCTCCAACTATCTCCCCTTTCTCCTCTGCTTTTTCACGTCAGACCATAAAAAAAAGGGAAAAAGAGCGCGCAAAATTACCTCTCTGCCCTATATGTTTAAATTTTTTAGGGAAAATACAATATATTAGTCACAAGTCACAACTATTAAGTAGCAGGGAATTATAGCCACAAGTATGAAAATTCAAATTATTAGCCATAATTATTGTTGCGAGTCAATAGTTGGCCCCATACCCACACAATTCTTATCCCCAAGCTGTTGCACAACTCGTCGGGGGCAACACGTAGTTGGTGAAGCGATAGGCTCGGGAGATTGGCCCCGCCGTCGGAGAGGGAGAAGAAAAGTTGATGGCAGGTTTGGAGGTCGTTAATGGCGATGTCTATTTTTCAGTGATCGTTACTCGAACTTGAACCCTAGACACAAACTAAGCTATTATGATTGGCAGATTAATTAGGGATTTCTATCGACAGAAAAATTAGGGTTCCTAGAATGGGGATTTCAAAATCCACCACCGTCGAGACCTTTCGAATGGTCACTCATCGTCGTTGAAGAAGGTCGACGACAGTGCCGACCGTCCCCCTGCTTCCTCTCGTTGCTAGCTGACTTCGATTAAAAAAGATAAACGTACCTATCTTTTTGCTTTCTTCAATTAAAAAATTAAAAAAGAAAGAAAAGTGAGCACAAAATAAAATTGAAAAATAAAAAAATCATCACATTCCTTCCCCTACCCTAGCAGCCACCTGTGTTTTCAATTTTGAATTTTTTTTTTTTTTTTTTTGTGTTGGAGATATGTTATCATAAACTTCAAAAAATAGACAATAATGACTTTTCACTTTACATTACTAGCTTCACAAAGTATATTTGTGCCGGTTTATGATTGATTTTCAGTACCGGTTAATCACAGATTATAAGATAACTATTACACCTCTCATTAATCGGAAACGATGTCCCGTCCTGTTTTGACACGGCTATTTCTACTTCATTGCTAGGGTAGGTAGGGTAGGCTGCTCTACTTTATTCACTGCCTCCTTCGAGCTGCGCGGGCTTTGGCGGCTTGCGCCCCCGTTCACGAAAAGCCCATGATAGAAAACGAACCAGGCCGAACGAGCCTGGATGAGGCCCGTTAGAAGCAATGAGGCCATGATAGAGATCGTTTCCTTATGAAGAAAGCAACAACGAAACCGATCTTGACCACCCACAATCTGTGTTTGTGAAGCAGAGGCAGAAAGAAAGGGGGTATGTGGTCAATGTAACGATCTCTTCGTCCCCTGCGGATCCCCATTTTCCCTTTCCTTCCCTCTTCTCTCCATCTCTTAAGGTAAACTCTTGATCAGCAATTACGTTTCCTTTTCTTCTTCCCTTCTTACTCCTACCATTCCCCTCTGCAATTGTGGATCTGAGTTTCCATCATTTTGATTCGATCTACTCCACCATTATTTCTATTCAATGCTCATTCCATCCCCCTCGTCGCTCTTTTTCCCTTCTCGTTCTCCTCTCATTCCCGCGCATTCCGGTGGCCGATTGCTTGATTCGTTGTTCTGTTTGTTTGCTTTTTGGATGATTTGTTTTCTTGATCTGTCGAGCGGGTTTCTTGGCGGGTGATGAAATGCTGGGGATTCAGATGGATCCACTAGCTTCGGAAATGGTGTTGTTGTAAAGTTACCGTGCGGTATCCGGTTGAAAAAGGACCGCTGATGATAGGGGTAGGAAGGGTAGGCTAACCTTCATGGACTGCGATTCGATCTTGGATCTGCTGGGGGAAATTTTGATTGCTGATGTGCTCAAATTATACGCCCATGGATTAGCCACCAAGAATTGCGAATGTATGTGATATCGTTCGTTTTAGGGTTTTCAATGGGCTTGTATTGTATGTGTGGGTCTGTTTCTTCTCGCCGTTCAAATTGTTGGGTTACATGTTTATCTGTGTTTGGGGTTTGTCATGCATCCGCTTGAGAATCCTTATGTTTCAGATGCAAATTGATCTGTTTGATACTGGGGTTATTGAACGGTCTCTTAACATTGTGGGGTTTGGATTTCATTCCCAGTTCGGAGCAACTCTGCGATGGGGGAAAATGTGGACCCTGAACAGCAAAGGATACTGGACGAGAACTTTTCAGGGAGTTTGCAGATTGATCCCAAGAGAGCTCGGTTCCCTAACTGCATTGTCTGGACACCTCTACCTGTAATTTCATGGCTCATTCCTTTCATTGGCCATGTTGGCATCTGCAGAGAAGATGGTGTGATCTTGGACTTTGCTGGGCCTAATTTCGTATGTGTCGATAATTTTGCGTTCGGGGCAGTTACTCGCTACATCCAGATAAACAAGGAAAAGGTAACAAAAAAAAATTTTTGCACCCTGATCTCCGAGCTACTACATGTTGAAAACAGTATCTTGTTTTGATTAGGTTGCCTTTACATTTGCATCTCTTATTATATCTTACTGGGTCATTTTTGAAAGAACCTGAACTCTCTGCATCGACATGTGTTCCATGAGTTGTTCGTTACCATTGCTTTGTCACATTTGTCAGCTGCTATGGTGGAAGAGAAGAAGGTTTGGGGTCTGTTTATTTTTGCTTTAAGAAATGACTTCTATCAAGGTAGAAGTTTGGGGAAGTGTTTATGAACTTTTGAGTTTGATCTCACTCTTGGACATGTTGGCCAGGACTGTAACATGGTCTGCCAGGGGTCCACATTTATTGGGCAGGACCAGGATGAATACGACATGGATGATGCACTTGGGAAAGAAGGATCGACGTGGGACAATGCCTTGAGAAAGGGCACCCAGGAGTTCCAACACCATGCATACAGCCTCTTCACTTGCAATTGCCACTCTTTTGTTGCCAACAATTTGAACCGGTTGGGATTCCAGTCAGGCGGGTGGAATGTCGTGAACGTGGCGCTTCTAGTGTTGATCAAAGGTCAGTGGGTGAGTACAGGGGCGATGTTGAAATCTTACTTGCCATTTGTGATAGTGACTGGGTTTGGAATTATTTTTGGTGGGATCACGTTCCTGACATTCTTGGCCTTCTTCATGGTCCTTCTGGTTGGTTGGTTTATTCTGGCTACTTACTGTTTCAAGGATTTCATCCAGTTGTAACACGCCTATTCTGTTTCTTCTACCCGGTTTTCTGTGTACTGAAATGTGCTGCTGCTCCTCCTGATGATGTAGTAACAAGAGAGTTGCGAGTTGATGTGTACTTGGATGAAATTATGAAAACTGCTTTCTGTACCTCAATCTAATGTAATCACCTTCAACAATTTGTTCCTTGGCTGATAGCTAACTTTCTTTTCCGTAGTGTACGTTGCTGAACCCAAGAGCCTAAAACATGAGTTCAGTAATATTAATGCCCTCAACGAACGATTAAGAGATACTATCCAACGGCTAAGTCAACTAATAACAAAATTTCCCTTTTTTACTCCAATCTCATGTCAGTAATTTTAGGGTGAGTAATTGTAAGTAATATATTCAGATCAGTGTGACATCAGCATCTCTCTCTTTCATGGAAAACCTTTTATTTTTTCCCTTAAATCTTGATTAGACGATTTCTCTATCGTTTTAAGTCGGAATTTTAATTTTTTTTACAGATAAATCAGATTAATTGTGCTCTTTAAACTAATATCCACTTTAATATATTTTTAGAACAAAAAAAATTGAGTCAATACCATATGGTATTGAATAGGAGCATATCATAGGGTATGAAAGCGTACCATGATGGTATGAACATACCAAGACTGTAGAAAGGTTGAATACATAATAGTAGGAGTATACTAACTGTCATTTACGACTTTCATCATTGTTTACCACAAGTTACCACCCCCATACTAGGGTGGTAAAGTACGGTAATTTTTTGTATTTTATTTTTTTCACCCAGAAATTTGTAGATCCAAATAGATCATGATGAACTCATTCCTTCAGAGCAAATATTTTCAAAAATGACTTAAAACGAAGGAGTTAACATATTGTATGGAGTTGGTAACGAGAAGTATGAAAAGAATTCTCAAAAAATATTAAAAATTGATCTCATTTTGTATAGCACAACGAACTCGTTCCATCTGTGCAAAAAAAAAAATTGAAATTCGGGTTAGAACGAAGAATATATAAGCCGATTAAGAAAACTAGGAAAAGTAAAATATCTTTAATTCTCCACCATTAGATCTAAATTTTCTGATTCCACTTAAATCTGATGCCTGAAATTTGGTTACTCATTGTTCAGTAACCAGGGGTTACTAATTGTATTCTAACCCTCTTCGCTTCTCTTCTTTTCCTTTCCCTTTGTTTCCTTATCTTTCTCAACAACCAAACCCCGCAAACCCTCGATCAACTTCCCATGGAGTGACAAATTGGTATAAGAGCCCCTGTCTTGGCACCATGACAGTGACATGCATTGAAGAACGCCTTAATTCTCTCACTTCCGCAGATGAGGCTGAGATAGAGAAATCAATGTATTTTTGCTCTTTGCCACGAGGGAGAAAAGTCTTGTTTGCAAAAATGCTAAGTGTAGTACCTTGTGCGGAAAAGCAAAGTTGAGGCTCAAAGTTTGAGTCCTCTTTTGAAAATAAGTAGGATTACCACCAAGGAGTCCATTCCTTTTCCCATGTTTTCTTAAGAGCCCCTGGTGCACGTGAAATGTCTAGATCTCTTTAGTCGACAAGGTCCTCATCCAAGAGTTTGTGTTGTCAGTGTCACTAAGAGATGGAAGTACACTTTCTCGATTCTTATTATCTTTCAAAGTGCTACGATGAACTCAGCGCATACCATTATGATTGTCTATTAAGTTGTACCTATTTCAGTAGGTTTGCTTGGGGACAAGCAAACACCTAATTGTGGGGGAGTTGATAACACTTAAATTGGTGTTATTTAGTCTCCATATTCTAGGTATTTTCATGTCATTCTTTGGCCTTAATGGTTAAAATATTGTCATTTGCATCCCAAATTCGTTCCTCCGAGCATATCATGTCATATTAGGGTGCATTCAACGATACTTGCATTTTAGAAACCAAATCAGGGCACAAGTGTAGGATTTGGAGAAATATAGGAAGATCAAGCAAGAAGAACAGAGATCACGGCTGAAAGAGGAGCCTGCGAACTTCAACCAAAGATCAAGGCGCTTGAAAAAGATCGCAAACATTCGTTGCAAATTTGGGGAGATTTGGTTCTATTTCTTTCTTGAGAGGCAATTTCCGGCGAGCCCCCGACGAAGCTCCGGCGACACCTCTCCGACCTGCTTTTGTGTGATTTTTCGGCTCCCTCGCCCTCTCCTCGCGATTAGACAACTACTACCAATTCGAAAAAACACCAATACCATTATAGGTAAAAAAACAAGAAATCAATAACAAAACATAAAAACACTAAATCACTACCACAACATATACCACTTATTAACCAATATCATTCCTTATTTAACTAATACCACATGAAGATTACTACCAATATGATATGATCCTAATTCAAGAAACCACCTAAACTTGGACCAAAAATCAGAATTGCACAACGTCGAACTCTTTTGCGGTTTTCTCCTTTCCTGAATAGCACGAAAATAAAGATAGTCGCGAAAATTGATCAAACAGATCCGAACTCGTGAGAAGGGCCAATTGGTATATGAACCCAATCAAACAATCTTGAACCCGTGGATAAGGCCAACCGATATAGTCGATGCTCGCCACAACTAGACGCGTTCTCTAGTTGATAAGAGATCACTCAATTCTCCCGAATCCTCAAAGGAGAGATTAAGCAAAAACGTTCACAAAGGAACTCGAGTAAACACTCAATGTAATTGATATTTGAAATCTGGGGTACAAAATTCGTAGCTCTTACAGCCTCTATTTATAGAGGTCATAAAAACATAAATCTAACATAAAAGGAATAGGAAATCAAATCACAAACTAACTAGAAAACATAATACTACTTAAATAAGGACTATAACTCGTTTTTATGACCAAAGAAAGCTCCTCAGCAGCTAAGTAATCTCCAAACACGTTTTTAATGCTTAAGGAAGGTCCTTAGTGATTAAGCAATCTCTTTCCTTGTCCTTTTCACATTTGGACGACTTGGGTAGCAAGGATGGACGTTTTGGGCTCCAAGAAATGTTGTAGGCCGGATCCTTAATTCATTCTCCATTTTATCCATCAAGAATGCTCCTAGTTGATCCTTAAATCGTCAAATATGAATCTTCAATTTTGGACCACGGGAATTAAATATCGCGCTAGTCGATATCGCATCATTCCCTCTCTCTTGAAGAATATTCGACCTCGAATCTTTGCAGAATTTTGATCTCCGATCACCACCATCCTTCTTGGTCTTCCAACAAAATTGTCTTGGTAGTGAGAATCGTATTATTCCCCCCTTTTTGAAGATAACTCGACCACGAATTGTAGAGACACCATTGTGATGAAAGCTCTCTACGTAGCGCTGAATCTCTTGTCGATTCTCTAAGCGGGCTTCCTCTTCAAAATTGGTATCCCGAATGTAGAAATCAACATGAACATATGTGGGAACAATTGGTAAATGCTCCATGACTTTGGTAGCTTCATCTTCTCCATGAAATTCTTGTTCCTCATTGTATTGCTCAACTTCTGGCACACTCAAATCTGGAACATCAACAAGAATATCTTCTTTCACCTCTTCTGCCTCTTGTAATTCTTCTATTTCAAGTTTTGGTTCTTCTTGAGATGAAATCAAAGCTTGTGCATCCTCTTCAAGTGACTAGAGTAAGTCCATCAACAAGAACCTCTTCTTTCGCTTCCACTTCTCCTTTGACTTTATTTTCTACTCTGGCTTGAAACTCTTTCTCTTTCTTATTTTTCTCTTCTTCCATTAGCTCCTTTACTCTAGCTTAGCGTCCCATTATCTCTTCGTGAAGAGATTCCAATCACTTGAAAGTCGTGATGTGATCTTTGGAGATACTATAGGTGCCGGAACTTCCTTTTCATGATAAGTAGTTTTCCTACTTGACTTGATTTCTCGTGAAGGAAAAGATCGCGTATAGTAGTCATCATATATCATCATGCACAAATCTCTTTCTCATGACCTGCTTCATTGTTGCCCATGATTCTACTTGTCCACTGCCATCTTGTCTCCATGATGAACACAATCGATCCCACCATTCATGAGCATAATGAGTGAATGTCATAGCAGCAATTTGCACCCTTTTCCAATCTAAATAATAATAATCTTCAAAGAAGTCTTCCATCTCCTCCTCCCAATCAAGATAGGCTTCAGTAACCCTTTCCTATAAAACAAGGGAATGTAGAGCTTCACACCTTTTCTATAGATCTCCATCATAACTTTATGTATGCTTCGCCGCTGAGTTTGAACCAGTAATCTTCAAATTGCCGCTGATTTTTATCCCGCTTTTCGCCACTGAGTTTGAACCGGGCTCTTGATACCACTTGATATGATCCTAATTCGAGAATCCACCCAAACTTGAACCAAAAATCAGAATTGCACAACGTCGAACTCTTTTGGGGTTTTATCATTTCTTGAATCGCACGGAAATAAAGATAGTCGCGGAAATCGATCAAACAGATCTGAACTCGTGTGAAGGGTCAATTGGTATATGAAACCAATCAAACAATCTCGAACCCTTGGATAAGGACAACTGATATAGTCGATGCTCACCACAGCTAGACGCGTTCTCTAGTTGATAAGAGACCACTGAATTCTCCCGAATCCTCAAAGGAGAGATTAAACAAAAACGTTCGCAAAGGAACTCGAGTAAACACTCAATGTAATTGATATTTGTAAATCTGGGGTACAAAATTCGTAGCTCTTACAGGCACAGCCTCTATTTATAGAGGTCATAAAAACATAAATCTAACCTAAAAGGAATAGGAAATCAAATCCCAAACTAACTAGGGAACATAATACTACTTAATTAAGGACTATAACTCGTTTTTATGACCAAAGAAAGCTCCTTAGGAGCTAAGTAATCTCCAAACACATTTTTAATGCTTAAGAAAGCTCCTTAGTGGTTAAGCAATCTCTTTCCTTGTCCTTTTTACATTTGGCCGACTTGGGCAGCAAGGATGGACGTTTTGGGCTCCAAGAAATGTTGTAGGCGGGATCCTTAATGCATTCTCCATTTTATCAATCAAGAATGCTCCTAGTTGATCCTTAAATCGTCGAATATGAATCTTCATTTTTGGACCATGGGAATTAAATATCGCTCTAGTCGATATCGCATCACAATACAATAACATCACTCCCAAAACATGCTAATCAATACCAATGCGAAAAATAATATTATTACAGAAAAAATTAATACAAATATGAAATCAGATGTAGTATTTTTTTCTCATGCTAGAAACGTATATTTTATTATACAAATAAATGATATAAAAATATAAATATAAATAATTTCATTATGATTTCATTAATGATGATAAAAGTTATCCGGCCAAGCTAGTTTATTTTGGAGAATTTTACTTAGTAAAATTATATAACTTTGACCTTGACTGGTCAAATTCCACCATATTTTTTTGCAAAACTTATGCTATGGTTATCAACTAATTCATCTTACTCATAGATTTACGGAATGAATCTACAGTATAAACTATAAATAAGCAAACCCAAAGGTTCATAAGTGATCAAAATAAACAATGAGGATACAAAATTGGGGCATTTTTGTTGCCCTTTTATCATCAATACTTGCAACTTCTTTCACGGAGGTAAATGGCATACATATTCCCTTTTTTGCATATCAACATGTGACTGTATACAATGAGCTAGAAGGAGGACAAGAGCTGATGGTTCATTGCAAGTCCAAAGACAATGATATTGGTGTCCATGTCCTGAAGCCACACGAGAACATTCAATGGAATTTTCATTTAAACTTCTTTCAGACGACACAATTTTATTGTGCCATGAAGTGGGGAGAGGAAAAAGTTCACTGGTTTGACATCTACATTCCGGACAGAGATTTCGACCGCTGTATCAAGTGCTCATGGGGCGTCAAGCAAAATGGCCCCTGTTTTTACGATAAGGCCTCTCGTGCTTTTGATATTTGTTACCAGTGGAATCCTGGGAGATGATCCATTAAGGTTTGATAAAAATTATTTCTTAGATTTAAGGTTTTATTAATTGTAATAATGATTATATATTATGATAGTTTGGTTGTTTTCTTGATTTGTTAGTGAGAATATATTCGACATCGGAATATAATCAAGGGTGTTATTGTCTCTATGTTGGCTATTATTATGAATTTTTTTTATGAGTAGTTGGTTACAATGGGAGTCGCAAAACTTATTTTAAAAAGATTGTATAGCCTTTCTACCAAGAGCTCGCTTACTATGAAACATTGGGATATATAAAGGTACAAGTTCACTATATATTATCATAAAATAATTTGTATGGAAATATTTAAGTACAAAAGTTTGTACCATAAAGTTAAGGTATATGTTCAGTTTGTAACATTAAAAGATTTGTACAAAAATATAGGCATATGTTAAATTATACTATAATATCAGAAGTAAAAATTCAGTTTGTACTATAAATTTTTTTAAACGAACCACCCTCACTGAAAAATTTGTTTGTGACAACATAATGACAAATTTAGTTATTCCACCCATAAATCTGTCAAAATTAACAAAACAGTTAATTTTGTTGAGTAGACTAACGAAAAGTGCTCACACAATGACTTTTTTTATAAGTGTGATATAGATTGATTTTATAATGGTAGCCATTATTCATGACTTTTATAATAACTTGCCAGTTTGGATATATAGATATTTTATTTTAATTATTTTTCAGAATTATTTTAATTAGCTTAAATGGAAACAACTAATACACAAAGAAAAAATTACTCTCTGTGGACATCCATGCGATAAACTATGATTAAATAAAAAACACTAAAAATGAATCTTCTTCGACGCGTCGGTGATATCCACCTCTAACGTCTCGTTCATCGTGGCTCACAAGAAGGCGATGCGTCGATTGCGTCGCCATCAACATCTTCAATCAACCGTCCTCGTGAGTTTATCTTTTTGCTTCCCCTTTCCTCACTTCAGGTGGGGTGATAACATGTCAAACTAGGGAAATCATGTAGAAATATGCAAGATACAATATATTTATGTTGTTTTCCTATTTGATTTGAACAAGACTATTCCAAAGAGAGAGATACGCTCCCAATATATATTATTATTACGTAAACATTTGCCAATTCTCATGTCCGTACACTCTTATTTATTATACTTCTGCACACGAGTTAATCATATATCTAAGTACTAAATTAATTTGCAATAACTAGACTTCATACTATCTTATCATTGTCAGACAAACATCATATCACTACGTTAAGTCTTCATAATACCATCTCACCACCATTTTATCATTATATTATCATTATGATAAGACCGACAACACCATCAAACACTGTCATTGTGTTATCACTATGGTAATGACCTACTCAATATCGATCGAGCGGTACATGAAATGGTTGGTCAGTTTTGTATAAGACATTAATAACCACCGCAATTATGAAACAATTATATGTTATTACAGATTTGTTGTCTACTTAGTGACCAGTGTTCTATTTCGAACAAACAGAAATGAAGATTTGAGGCCTACTAAGACCGTGAACTGGAGCCACAAACCGTGAACATCGAGCAGTCCAGCGAGGTTTCAGAGGTTACTGACACCAAGGGAGTTCACGGTCGCTAAGACCGCGAACTAGGGCCATTAACCGTAAACCCAGGAGAGTGAAGCGGTCCGTTTTGGAGACGACTGAGTTCACGAACGCGTTCAGGTGTTCACGACCGTGAACTGGCCAACGCGGCCATGAATTGGTCACTTTCGGGCAAATATGAAGACAGCAACGTGCAATGTAGTCAAAATCGCGCTTTAAAACTTAAAAACTTACGATTTTACATTTCTAGGTCACTAAAACGTTTCTACACAAAATCTTAGTTTTTATAAGTTATATAGTTAAAAACTCCGCTTTAAAACTTCAAAACTTGCGATTTTACTCTTCTAGATCACCAAAACGTTTCTATGTAGAAACTCGCTTTTAACTACATTGGCAACATGGAGATAGAAAGGAGAGTGGGTTTTTGGAGAGAAATTCAATTCCCTCTCTAGGGGTTGCCAAAAAACACCAAAGGGGAGTCTAGTGAGAGAGAGACACACACACACAGAGAGAGAGTGCTAGAGTGATCTTGGAGCATAATAATTAATAATGTTAGTTAAGTAGGGTTAGGCGACTAACCTAGGCCGATTAGGTTAGAATTAGTTCATTAGGGTTTTGGGTTTATTCCTATAAATATGTACTTTGGGTTTACGTCATAGGGAGTCAAGAAATGTATTAAGCAGAGTGTTCTCCTAAACCTAATATCTCTCAACTCCTCATTTCTATTCTCTCCTAATCCAAGGCCTCGGTCGATTCTCAATTCTATTCTGTTCTTCTCATCTAATCTCAACCCTAAATCGCTATTGGTTACGAGTAGTTACGGATGCCGAAGATCAGTCCCTAGAATCCCTAGAAGCGGGGTTCTTTCAGTGGTATCAGAGCCCGGTTGTAGGCACTCGTACCGGAGCCATGTCGAGATTCGATGAGCTCTCAATCAGCGAACTCATAAAGATTTTGAAGTTGAAGCTGGAAGAGGTAAGGAGGAACAAGGTTACCTCATCCTTACCGTTGTCCGGGAATATGGCTCCATCCAAAGCTGCAACCGAGCCAACAATGACGGCCGAGGAGACAGCGACATCTCCTGCGATATCACCATCAGCAGTCGTCTCTTCACCGGTAGCGGCAAAGACAGACGTCGAGGAGCAGTTGGCGACCGAGCCGCCAGCCACGAAAAGACGGTCAACATCGTCGGGTTGAAAGAGGGACCTGCGATGACCGAACCGCCAATGGAGGAGGAATTGATGGCGGCGGATTCGCCGGCGACAAAGGAGGCGCCAAGCAGCATCGGGCCGAGGAAAGAAGCGAAGACGCCACCATCGGCCGATGCTGCCAATTCCGCAAAGCAAGCAAATTCGGCCGCGACGAAGAAGGAAAAAGACCTGAGAGGGTGTCCCGATACGACAGTGGATTTCCTAAATTCGGCCACTCCACCTCCTAGGAAACCACCAGACGCATCAATGACGAACGGGCATCCGTTCCGGGCAAGGTCGGACGAGGAAGAGGAGCTGAAGACGATGACCAAGAAGTCGGCGTTGCACTGCTTAGGATCGATTGCCGACGAAGAGACGGAGTCGATGGCGGTTATCGCCGGGTCGAGCTTGACAAGACACCGCGGGATGGGCTACTCGCCGGAGTCGGGGTGGCCGTCGGGTTGCTCTCTGTCGGGAAAAGAAGAGGCGAGGAAGAAGGAAGGCGGTGGCGGTCTCCCTTCTTCAGCAGCCCTAGGTAGGGCCACCAAGAGGCCAGAACCGTTGGGCCGAGCTGTGGTTCAGGTCGCTGGGCTCGAGTAGGCCGGATTGGATCAGCAATCGGAGCGGGCCGAAATAAACCCATTGGTTAAGTCTTTTCTGTATGGTTGTGGGCCGACATATGAAGAGATGGAATCTAACTTGGGCTTTGTGTTAAGGAAATCGGATTGGGATGAAGTTATTGTGTTGGTGGATGGGCTTGCAAGTGAGTTAGGCCCATGCCAAATTGAGAAGAAGGAACAGCCAAGGAAGTTTGACATGGGGTTGGGCCATGCATCCTACTTTCAAGCTAATGTGGGCCGACCCAAAGGAGAAAGATTAGTTTGTGGAATTGAGCACAATTGGAAGCGAAGAAAGCGGAAGATCAAGATCAAGAAGACGGAGGTTGGCTGCAGCCTTGAGGACAAGGTCACTTCGAAGGAGGGTGGAATGTTGGACATATAATTAGTAGAATAATAATAATTAATAATTTTAGTTAAGTAGGATTAGGCGGCTAACCTAGGCCGATTAAGTTAGAATTAGTTCATTAGTGTTTTGGGTTTATTCCTATAAATATGTACTTTGGGTTTACGTCATAGGGAGTTAAGAAAAGTATTAAGCAGAGTGTTCTCCTAAACTTAATATCTCTCAACTCATAATTTCTATTCTCTCCTAATCCAAGGCCTCGGCCAATTCCCAATTCTATCATGTTCTTCTCATCTAAATCCCTAATCTCAACCCTAAATCCCTATTGGTTACAAGTAGTTACGGGTGTCGAAGATCAGTCCCTAGAATCCCTAGAAGTGGGGTTCTTTCACCCTCTCTGTTCACAACCACCTACACCACACGACTTCATTCAATCCAACGAGCCATGGTAGCTAGTTAAGGGGAAGCAACTCCAGGGTGAAACTCCCTTAGTTAGAATTTTCCTTTATTTACTTTTCTTTGCTTGTTTAGTTTGTAGTTCCATTAGTTCTAAACCCCAAAAGTTGCTTGCTAGATAACAACCTAAGCGATTGAAGTAGGGGTACATGGATCGGCCCGGGTTGATAACTAAAACTTACTTGCCCTATGATGCACCCCTCTAGAGTAAAAAAAAAAAAACTTGGACTCTAGAGAGGAATTCTAGTGTGGTGTTTTGTGTGAGTCAAAGCCTTAGCAACTCCCTTGTTTGTGGATGACTTTCAACTTACGGGCATCCATAAACTCTAGTGAACCTTCCACTTGCTCTCCCATCACAATCTCTAATTACAACCTCAATGAAATTTTGGGAAGAATCTATTATCACGAGATTTACCTCTTTTTTCCAGAATAAACACAACATCCCTCTTCATCCGTCGTTGCAACTCCCTTACCCATCTCAAAGCGTAACTCAATCTTCTTCTTCTTCCATTAAACTTCCGATAGTTTTATCTCCATCAAGAATCTTATATGGGCAATCCAATCACACTTGAATAACATAATCCTGAATCTTTCCCAAAAGTCCAGCTCTATGATATCATTTATTCTGCCAAAATATTTTATAGCCTCTGCAGGATTTTTTGTTTTTGGCATGACAACCACACCAATTTTTTTAGATGTATATTCTTCCGTGCCTTTAGAGTGGACCCTAGTCCCTTTCATCCATCAAAGCAGTTAAAATCCGATTTAAATCTTAAAATCTTACGATTTTATGATCTTACTTACCTGTTCCGATTTTGATTTCACTATAAAATCTATGGATCTTAAAATCCTACACTATTCACTATTTAAAATCTTAAAATCTCTAAAATTTTACAATTTTATAATTCAAATATTCTCCTCGTAATTTGCAAAACTAAGCCTCTTTTCCTCTCCTCCATCAAAATTATCTAGTTCTCTCACACTAACCACCATCGACCATCATCAATTCACATTGACGTATTAATCATCCTCGATTCATCACTTCTCAACATTAATCTTGATAAATTGGAACATTAACCTTGATAAATTGCCATTGTATGTGTTATGTGTTTTAGTGTTATTCATGATTTCCCTTATTAATATTATTTCGTCTTCAATTTTACATAGACCTTAAAATCATATGATTTTCGACTTTACGTAAAATCCTTATTTTGACTGACATGCCTTATATATCCACTAAATTTTCAAGCCACTATATTTAGACTTTGGAATAGCCATCTACATATTCAGTTACTCATGTGGTGAGCCTTTTAGATAACCTAGAAACCTTAAAAAATAAATATCAATTTGTTAGAAAGAATATGTTAATATCAAAATTATATAAAAAAATAAATTATTATGTTATTTTGTTTTGTCAACTATTCTTACATAACCCTTTCAATCATTCTACAAAATTGGCATTTTGTTTCAATGTGACACCTATAAATGTTGGAAAAAATGACGTTTACCCATTCTTAAAAACATCACTGAGACCTGGAATGAGAATATTCAAATGTCACAATAATCATATTTGTGTGACATTTAAAACCACTGAAAGAATGATTGCTTGTGACAATGTAGCTATCGTAGTAAACATGGAACCATTCACTAACATTTCTCGAAATGTTGGTAAAATAAGAAATTAGAAAACTTTATGTGACATGGAACCATTCACTAACATTTCTCGAAATGTTGGTAAAATAAGAAATTAGAAAACTTTATGTGACATCTGTTAGAGGCTTCCAAAATTGTCGGTATATGCTTGTTGTGATATTTTCTTACCTTTTAGCGATGCATCAGAACATTTTGGTTTTTAGGAGAAAATTATTTCGTTGTGCACAACCTTTTGGATAATGCGATCATTGCAATCTACACATTTTTCAAATCCATTCATCCAACCCCTCGCTTGATGCTCGAATACCGGGTAATTAGCATAAATGGTCACAAACCTTTGCACTTAGTACAAAACAGTAACAAACCTTTAATTTGTAACCATTTGATAACAAAACTTTTCACTTAGAACAAAACGGTCACAAATTAGACAGTGTGACCATTTCATACCAGTTCAAACTTTTGTTACCATGTCGTTGCAAATTAGACTTTTGGTGACCGTTTTGTACAAATTAAGTTCAAAAGTTTGAACGCTCAATCACCGTTACAATTCGCTCTAGTTGTATGGTGGTTCTGTTAATGTATGTGAATGATATGATCGTCATAAGGGATGACAATGAGAGAATTCAATGGCTCACAAACGAATTCCAGACTGCTTTTTAGTTGAAAAAACTCTGTCTACTTTCTTACTTTCTTGGTATCAAAATTGAAAGGTAAACTGAGGGCATTCTTATTCGGCAAAGCAAATATGTCGATGAACACATGACCTGACATCTTATATGTCGTTCACGTGGTTAGTGTCATATACTTAACGAACAAACTACCCAACCTCAAAACATGACAAACATTTAATTTGTAACGATTCGGTAACAAACCTTTGCACTTAAAACAAAACGGTCACAAATTAAATAGTAGTGACCATTTTATGCAATTTCAAAGTTTTATTACCATATTGTTACAAATTAAAGATTTGTGACCGTTTTGTACTAAGTGCAAAGGTTTGTTACCATTTGTGCTAATTACCCCTCGAATACCTGACCTTTAGGGCAAGGTGGTTAAGGTTTTATATCAACGGAAACCTGTTCCTCGTCGATACTGTGTGCACGTTTCATTTCATATGCACTCTGGAGTCTGGTCGCTGCATTCACAGACAACCACCGTTCAGCCCTGGAATTGCAGCTCCATTCGTCTGTTAATCTGGGCGAGTAACAACGTAACCAAACCACAATCTCATTGTCTAGCCCGTAGCAGATGAACACATTTGCTAGTCTTATTGATCACTAAATGTTTATTAAACGCACTGTGACGGCAGGCGAGGTAAGATACTGACCGGCAAAAAGGTTTGACAAGGCAGTGGAGTAAGAGCCGAATGGCAAAAGGGATACAAGAACATAAATTGGCTGTGACACAGTTCAAGCCCGCAAATACCACAAGGCTTAAATGACCTCTAACTATATCAATTTTACAGGATATCCACATAGGGCCGCCACTTCCATCCAAGACAAAGAGGCTCAAAATCAATGCAAAAAGCTAAACCTTTCTGTTATCCGCACAAGGCTTGCCCATCTATACATCCAGGACCCAAAATTTCTCCAGGCCATTAGTAGAATCTACACCGTTTTACTATGGTCTGCTACGTTAATGTGAAGTTTATCAAGTTTCACCGTTTGCCTTTGCTATTACGAGGGCAGATTTTGATTCACGGACTTCGAGCTTTAGGCTCTTGGTCTTCTTGCCCTTAGATTTGAACCCACCATCCATGTCATCATCATCACTGTCGTCTCCGAATCCCTTCTTGCGTGTTTTCTCGGCGTTCCCACAAATGACAATCCTCCTCTCATCCTTCTGTTCTTCAGCTTCGGAAGTCCAATTCGGCCTCCAGATGAATAGAGACCTGAAAACACAAGATGGATAAATGCACCAGAAAAGTAGCTTATTAACCCTTGATTACTTCGTCCCGAAGCAGTAAGAGTTACAGCTTGCAAGGATGGGTTTATGTAGTTCCTATCGCAATGAGCACAAACCTTGAACTACCAGAAGCCAGGACATCATCCCGGGGATGCAGCTTGTTCACCGGAGTAATTGTAGTGATATTTGGATCCATCACCTCAGCAACTAGCTGTCCATTACTGGTGTCTATAAAATCAATGGGATGCAGAGCAGCGCCATTGAAATTCTCGCTTATATAACGACCAATAACTGCAAGGGACTCGGATGGATCCTGCAGTGAAAACAAGTTCCAATTAGTGTTTTTGAATTCTCTTGGAAAAATAATGATTTGTTCAGCAAGGCAGAAGACCAAACCTTTGGATCCCACTCTCCTCGAAATGGAGTGAGGTGCCTGTTGAAGTCATGGCTGTGCACAATTTCTCGGCTTGGAGAGTCGAGGTCTCCAAAGATGGAGTCCCACACACGAAGGCGGTTGTCTTGTGCAGTGGTCAGAATTTTGCAGCCAGTGAGAGGGGAGAAATATGCAGAATTGACCACTCGCTTGTGCGGAAGCTCATGAAGAGCAGATCTAGCTTCTAGTCTACGCATGTCCCATATGCGAGCCTAATGTGTATCACATCAGTAGCATAAGACACAGACAGCAACATTACCAACATGAATGGGCTCAGTAATTATAGATACCATAAGTACCAATATAACGTGAGAGGACTACACAGTAGCCAGTATCTCAGATCTGAAAGGAAATCTCACTCACAAAATGATCATTGCCACAGCTCAAAAGAAGCTCTGGGTGAACAGGATTGCAATGCAGGCCAACTACTTTGCTGCCCTTTTTGTGGACCATAATGGCATCCCCAGTTTTGTGGTTCGACCGTGTATCAACCCTGGGTACAATAATACACCAGTAAGTAGAAGCTACAGTATCTCAACTCTTCAACTTTGAGAAAGATATATATGCCAATGGCGACAAAAATCAAGATCAGTAGCTCGTAGTTATATTGAAGAAATAAGCATAGCTAGAATTCCGAGACAACTGGGTGATTTTCTTCCAGCAATGAAGAAATGCAGCTGGAACATTGTTGAGCATATAAACGGCAGAATCCAGAAATGCACAGATGATTCCCATGTCGACTTGTAAGCAAAAACTGTATATATGCAGAGATAAAAGGAAACGGAAATTACTTACATATACAGAAAACCAAAGTTATCAGCAACAAGCACAACACTTTTCTCTGAGTTGATATCCATGCCATAAAGCATTCTCCAAGTGTTGGGACCCTACAGAAGTGAGTTCTAATTCATAAATCACAATGCCAGTAGAAACAACCAAGCCGCCAGGTCGCCCACACACGAGCATGCTTATTCACTTTATTCTTATATACATCTGGAAACCAATTTCATGAAGAAACATATGTATCCTCAAATCACAGAGGAAATAACATTCAAGAAAAATGAATTGGAGACCCAAAAATAAAAACATGAAAAAAGCAGCACATACATCCAAGAGACCAGACAGTATAAATTCACTAGCATTTAGTTATGCACATTAGAACGAATGACAGAATACTTTACCTGCCAACCATCCGGGTTGAGGTTCATCAGAGATGATGAAAGACCAGTCTCCAAGTCAATGCAGCTTATGGTTCCATCAGAGGATGCAGCGTATATAGTACCATCATTCACAGGATTGAACCTGCATAAGCACCAGAGATGTCAGATTTCTTAATATAAAAATTCTATTAAACAGAAATTAAATCGAATTTCTGCAAGATCTTCCTCACCTCATGTTATTGACAATGCAAGTGTGTATATTTCCATACACCATCTTCTCATGCACCTTCTCAAAGTCCCAGATTCCAACTTGTCCTTTCTTTTGCAAAAAAACCAAAAGATAAGTCAGGGGAATAAATAGTGATGAAGAACACATCAGCCTAAGTGAATTAAGATCATATTAACAATAAAGAAGCAGAACAAGACCAACCTTGTCCCCTGATAAAAGAATATTGTTTTTGGTAGGATGAAACTCCAAACATGTCACCCGCCTGCTATGATATCTGATAACTGCACAACATACTTGATTTGGTATAACATGTGCAGGCTTAATCTGATGCATGGAAAACAGTATAACTCCAGTTAGAATACCAGATGACACCTTCAAGCGATAATCAAAGCTACTAATATTTTAACTTTGAAGAGTAACTGTACTGGCCAAACAAACAACAATTCTCCATCTTTTCATGCAGACAATAAACTCCAGAAAGAGCTTCAAAATTCTACCCCAAGTCCACACACAAGCAGAGCTGAGTTAGCAATTTAGACAATTCCAAGCACCTAACCGAATGTTCTCTGTTCAGATTGACGTGACCTAGCAATTGGGGAAGCGGACATTGCCAATCAAGCATAAAAAACTTACATGATAAGGGTTTCCAAATGGAGGAAAGAAAAGAATGGGGAAAAAGAAGGCTTACAGGAGGAATCTTTGGCCTGAGCTGGCGCTGGAAAACATATTCCAACGGGCTATGGGTACTTCTAAGGGGTGCTGGAATGACTCCATGCTCAGTGGCCACCCTATGCGGGCAAGACATTGTAGTATGCCCTGCATTGCATGGAAACAACATGATGATAACATAAAAGGAAATGAATTAGAACAGAAAGAAACAATGAACAGTTGACAGTTTCAATTGCATATTCATAACAATTTAAGCTTGACTCAAGTACCAGGCATTTTACAGAGGAAACAGGGTTTCATCGGGCAATCAACGTACGTGGCTCCTTTAAACCCTGCTTCATGACCCGGCTTCTTGCAAACCTACAGCAAACTCGCCGGCTCAATTAACCATAACAAGCGAAGAATTAAAACCGAATTAAGAGCAGCAAACACAAATGCCTTTACTTTGCACACTTTCTTCAGACTAATGGTAATGGGTGCCTTTCCTTTCTTCTTAACAGCTGCATCTTCCTCCTCCATTTTCTCTTCCTTCCCACTCCCCGCCGCCGCCGCCGCCACTACTTCTTCTCCTTCCGAGTCTGATAGCGGCTCTTCTCCATTGTCGTCGTCGTCATCGGAGGAGGATGAGCTCTGCTCCGACTCCGAGTCTCTCTCGATCACCACTTTAGGGAACGCGTTTCGTCTCGTCCGCGGGGCCATTCTTTGGGGGTGATTAGACACAGTACAACACGAAGAAGAAGACAAAGAACCCTGGGAACCAGGGTTTTGACTGAGAAATGGGAAACCCAAACTAGCAAAGGCGGTGTTAGGGATTATGAATCCAAGAGTAAATAAAAAACTGAAGCGAGAGTTGCAGAGCGAACCGGCAGCGGCAGCTTTTTGGGGCAAACTAAAGAGGTAGACAAACCGACCGTCACAAAACAAAAACTTTAATTACTATCCTACCCTTCCCTCGGACTGATACAAATATCCAGTGCCGCCCGTCTGTCCATGGCGGGAACGAGATGGGACCAGGACATTCGGAGGATATTTCCGGTAATTAAATTTGAGCTGTGGCGGGAGTTGACGTGGCCGGTTCTCCACCGCTTTGAGATTGACGCGTGGACAACAGCTACAACTACACGGCAACGTAAATCAAACGTCAAATCACTTAGTACTCGATTACCACCCAAATCTTTTAAGGGGTCGTTTGGATTAGTGTTTTTAATTTGAGTGATTTGAGAGAGATTTGGGATCAAATCACTCGTTTTAAAACCCAGGTTTTTTATTCGAGGGATTTGTGTGGGATTTTCTCCAAATCACTTGTTTGGCAAGCAAAAAGGGATTTTAAATTGAAAATGGAAAATTACATCTTACCCTTGGACATTCCCTATCTGTACACGAAGGAAGGGAACAAAAAGAAGCAGATTGGGTTCCTTCTTCCTCGTGCCGAGCGCTCTTCTTCCCTGCCATTCATTCCCTCACTTCGTCGTTCCGCTCTACCACTGCGGGGGAGTTGCCGTTGTTCATTGAGTTCGTCCCTTTCAATTGAATGTCCTTGGTTCGTTGGTTTGATGAATTAGGATTAGCTTCTTCAATTTACAGGCCTCGGTTCTTGTCTTCCTCTGTTTGATATGGAAACCCAGAACCACGAGACAGGAAACAATTTGGTTCCTATGTTATCCTTTGAGAAACAACCACAATCAAGGTGTAATAAACCCAAAACCCCGAGAGGAGCGACGAAGGGAGAACGAAGAATGAGGGTTTCACGAACTCACCTGCTGGAAGAAGGGTTCGACGCCGCAGATTCCCTCCGCGAAACGCAGTCGCTGCCGGTCATCACTCGGCGACAGCCGCTCTCTCGTGTTCGAGCTGCTTCATTTGGATGGGAGCAAGCAAACCCTCGCCTACACTACTGCAACAGATGGACAGAATTGATGGATAGACAGAGCAACGAAGGGTTAATAGAATAAGGGCAAAGTTGGATTTTCGGAAAAAAAGTATGGGCATATATGGAACAAATGAACAAAATATTGAGGGATTTCAAAATAGCTGGTGGTCATCAGCTATTTCACAATCCCACATATGTGGGTTTCTGAAATCCGGAATGTTTAAAATCTCTCATTGAAAAATTGTTTTCCAAACGAGTGATTTTAATTAAAATCTCTCACAATGAGAGATTGTGCCCAAATCCCTCATTAAAAACACTAATCCAAACGACCCCTAATTGAAAAACAAAATATCCAATAATATTTAGAAATAGCAATTAAATGGACTAAGATCAGGTGACTAAGCGGGTCCCTTAGCCACATGATTAAGCCAATTTCAATCATTGAATCTCATTAAAATCTAATGGTTCAGATCTATCTAGTTTAATGAAGGGTAATGTAGTAATTACATAATTAATTTATTTAACAATTAAAAAAAACCTAATTCTATTCTTCCCTGTCGGCGCGGCCGTTTCGTTTTCTGGGAATTCTCCCGGCGGATCCCCAACCCACGCCGCCGTTCCCGGGGGAATTCTTCTGGCTGATGGGAATTATAGCGGCGGAGGAAGCTTCCGAAGGCGCCATGGATGATGGGAATTATTTGGGAATGAGAATTATTTGTTGGCAGAGAGAGGCCATGGATGATTGGAATTATTTGGGAATGGGAATTCTCCCGGCGGATCCCCAACCCACGCCGCCGTTCCCGGGGGAATTCTTCTGGCTGATGGGAATTATAGCGGCGGAGGAAGCTTCCGAAGGCGCCATGGATGATGGGAATTATTTGGGAATGAGAATTATTTGTTGGCAGAGAGAGGCCATGGATGATTGGAATTATTTGGGAATGGGAATATTTTGTTGGCGGGGAGAGAGAGAGGCCATGGATGATTGGAATTATTTGTTGGCGGGGGAGAGAGATTGATTTTTTGATCGGAGATTTTTTCCGGCGAACATCGACGCCGGAGAAGAATTTTCCGGCAGTGCTGATTTTGTGATGTTTGTTGACATATTTTGTAATGTTTGTATGCTTTGTTATTTTGTAATGTTTGTCGGTTTTTTTGTAATGCTTGTAAACTTTGTTATTTTTGTGCACCATGTTTGTAAACTTTGTTATTTTTGTGCACCATGTCTGTAATGTTTTTTATGTCTAAAAAACACCCGGGTTGACTTTTGGATGGAGCCCCTCTATATAGGGATGGAGCCTCCAAAGTCAACCCGGGTATTTTTTCCCGTTCGTATGGATTGTCGGTCTAGTTTGTCATTTTTGTCCACCATGTTCGTACTGTTTGCATGTCTAAAAAACACCCAGGTTGACTTTGGGAAGGAGCCCCTCTATATAGGGATGGAGCCTCCAAAGTCAACCCGGTTGTTTTTTCTTTTTGTATGGTTTGTATTGTTTGTCGGTCTAGTTTGTATTGTTTGTACAGTTCATACGTTTGTAATGTTTGTAAATCTGTTTGTATGTTTTGTCACTCTAGTTTGTACTGTTCGTATGTTTGTATGGTTTGTATGGTTTGTACTGATTGTAAATCCGGTTTGTATACTTCGTAATTTTTTATAATACCCAAACTACCCATGTCATTAATTAAATAGCCCTTCCCACTTTTTAACCATTGGATTGAAGTGTCCAGATCTAAGGGCTGGGAGGGGCTTAGTCAAGTGACTAAGCACCCCCCTTAGTCACTGGATCCGCCCTCCAATTAAATAGAGGAATAGTTTGATCATGTTGTAGCTTTTATAGAAGTTTTTTGTTGGGGTCTTTAAAAACTGTTTTCGAAAGAAAAAAAAAACAGTTCATGTTTGGCTAACAAACGATTAGAAATGTTATTAAATGTTTTACTAAAAAATTATTAAAAATATTTTTAATGTGAGAGATCATGTAAAATGACTAAAAAGGGTTTATAATATAAAAATATGACAAAAAACTTTAAAGAATAAAAGGTAGTCAAAATGTATGTTGAAATCTAAGAGTTAATACTTTATTTTGGTATTAACTACGATCATATAATCAACTTTGCCGGGTGGTTTCAGAAATTAATATCATGGCCTCAACTATGCCGTATATATACTCAATTAGCCCGATACATGGTTTGACCGTCAATTTGAATGGTCAACATCGTTTATGGTTAGTCAAAACGTCATGTCATTGCCTCGTCAGCCTAAAAATCTAAAATCATTAAAAAAAATCAAATTCAAATTATTTTCATAATTTCTATTATTATCATTATCAAATTAACCAAAATATAAAAGAATTTTTATATTTTGATTTTTAGGTAATTTGAAAATGATCAATTTTATAAATAAACCAAAAATTATCAAATTATTTTAAATTTTTAAAATTATTTTTTAATTTGAAAATGATAAATAATATAAATTAGGAAAATAATTTTACTTTGATTTTTTTAAAAGATTTTTAGGCTGACGAGGCAATAACATGGCGTATTGACAGTCCAAATTGATAGTCAAACCATGTGTCGGGTCAATTGAGTCTATATGCTGCATAGTTAAGGCCAGGATGTTAATTTCTAAAACCACAGGCCAAAATTGATTATATGGTCATAGTTCGGGCATAATAAGGTATTAATCCATTTCTTTTATATTAAATAATATAATTTTAACTTTATTTTAATTTTGATTATGAAGTAATTGATGAAAAAATTTATTTTTTAAATAAAATTAAAATATATTAATGATAATTTTGTATTTTCAAAACAGTTTTTGGCTTTAGAGCTTTTGCTTTTGGGCTAGTTTGCCCATGTTGTAGCTTTTGGAGAAGCAGTTTCTGACTGTAAGTTTTTGGGCTAGTTTTGCCCTGCAGTTACTTTTGACATCCAGGATTTGGGTAAGGAATTTAATTTAGGATCTTGCTTACAATATTAGAGTTACTATAGACCTTCCCTAGGTTCATTAACCAACTCACAATATTAGTAAATCGTTCATACATTTATGAAATGGTTTCAATTCCACCCATTCTAAACAATTCATATTCTTTAACTAGCATGCGAATTCGAGTATCTTTAATTTTTGGTGTACCTTCGTAGGTGACCTCCAGTGTGTCCCAAATCTCTTTAGCTGCTTTGCACATCGCCACTTTACCATACTCTTCTCGACCCCAAGCACATTTAAGAATGTGTTTGGCCTTTGCATTTATCTTCAATTTCTTCAAGTTATCTTCCGTCCATTCACCGATTTGGTGAGTGACCACTTCGGTCCCCTTCTGGATGTTGATCCAAACATGCATATCATACGCCTGGAGGAAGTCCTCCATATAGCTCTTCCAGAACACATAGTTGTTACCATCAATATGAAATCATGAATTAACCATCCACGTGTCCACCCCTACCTTATATAAATAACTTAGACAGTCGATGTCATCCATGACCCTCGGGAACTAATTCAAATGATTGATCGTATGAAAAGATTTGAAACAACCAACCTACATAAATTATGATATGTTCAATAGAGTGATATAAGATCCATAATAAATATTCTCCATACAACTCAAGTTATTGAAACCAACTGTTTTAATTATGACATATTATTAGAGCTCTCGCTTGATTTCGTATGTTCATGCATATCATACGCCTGGAGGAAGTCCTCCATACAGCTCTTCCCATGCATAGCTTTTACCATCGATATGAGACCATGAATTAACCATCCACGGTCGTGATCTTTGACTGTGATGCCTGCACTCGTGTTGTATAAAAAGGCAGCAATTGGGAGAGAGAAAGGAGAGCTTGGTTCTTCTTTAGGGTTTCGCCCCAAAATACCAAAGAGACATTTTTAGAAAGAGAAAGGAATCTAGGTGGGTTCATGGAGCTTACACATCACGATGGAGCTTGAATATCATCCCCTAGAAGAAGAAGAAGATGGAAGAATTTGTGCTTTGTATTGTAATCCCTTTCTCTATGAATTAGACCTCTTCTCTTAGGTTGATGAACTCTAGGTCTAGATTTTGGTTTGATGTTGATGTATGTGACAAATCCTATGTTTGATTGCTCATTTTGTGGATGGATGTTTATCATGAATTGCATGTGTTTTACATGTGAATTGAGCTTTTGACCTACGAGGGAGAAAATCCCCTTTTAGCTCATTCTTGGCAATTAGGGTCACTCCTTATTCCATGTCGTCCGGATAATCCTCTGAGGCAGTCTATTCGATTGATTTTTTTAATGATATAAGGCTTCCCTAGGTTGAATAGAGCACCTACCAATCCATCACTTCGCGTTTCGGGTCAATCCCGAGAGAGACGATCTCCCAACGGTAGGGATATCGAGTCAATCGACCTAGGATGGTATGCAACATCAGTCTAAATGATGAAAGAGGGGGATTCAAGCTAAGAGTGCCCCCAAACTTGTAATTAACTAGGGTAGTGGTTAAGTTAGCTTAGTTTGTTTATTCTTAATCGCTATTCTAGGTTGTCTAGATAACGAAACTTAGGACGAAGTAAGTTACACCTTGAGAGTTGTGGTTCGATAATTTTATTACTTGTTTACCCGATGGTTGGTTAAACTTGGTATTCGATTGGAAAGTTGTAGTTAGAGCGAGCCACTTACTCAATTGATGTAATTTGATTGATTACATTATCATCGAGTCATTTGGAATGTGTGCCTATGGATTAAACCCATTTAAAGAGGATATGTTATATCTCTAGTTATGATATTAGATGATCATTGAGTTGATTGTCATAACTAGGAGGGCAATGGGGTGCATGATCATTGACCCAATTGCCTTATTAGTGACCCTTGCAGCTTGAATAGCTATAATTGAATTATTACTTGTCTACTTCAAAGGCAATTCCTCAAGTGTTAGGAAAAGCAACCACATATTGTCTCTCTTTCTTGAAGTTTGCAATAGTTTACTCAATTACCATCTAAATTGCTTATTAAATAACAATCGAACCCTTAAGTACGAAGAGGTTTCCAGCCCTAAGAATACGACTTTGATAAACCGCTATACTACATCTACTAGTTAGTTTATTACTTGGGAAGCGTCCGGTGCGCAACAAATTCAATTATGGATCGGAGCTACGACCTACATATTAGCGTAATCTTCCCATTGACTATGGGGTCGTTTGGTTTCTGTGATTGTTTGGCTGAGATTGTTACATTGCCTGTATTATTTACAATTCATCGTTTTTCTGATTTTTATGCACAGAGAATATATGTATTGTTTACTTGATGTTGACAGAAACAATCATCCATTATAAATGATTGTACTATCTCAGCTTTTAGCTGAGATTGTTGGATTGTCTAGTTGAGATTATTTTTTTCTTCTTTTTTTCCAACGTTAACCTTTTGATAATTACCTTTTGCATTGAAAAGAATGGTACAAGTGACATTTCCATAAAAATTACTTTACTTTTTACCTATTGAAAACACTTTTTTTTTTGGACAAAAGATAATCATATATTGATTCAATGAATAGATAGTTACATCCTCGAATTCAGCCAGGTCCTGAAATCAAAGAAACGTCTCGTAATCGAGTACAATGAGAGGGCCTTTCTAGCCACAGTATGGGCTACCCTATTACTACGCCGGCCTACAAATCGAACACTAAACCCAAAATGGATGGCAAAATAATGCACGATTTCTTCAAGAACAGCACCTATCTGGTTATCTCTGGTATCATCCTAATTGATTTTATCGATAATCACCTTGGCGTCGCTTTCGAATCTTATGTCCGTGAAGCCGTGACCCATACACCATAAAATAGCCTCTCGGAGTACAAGCAGTTCCACCACCAAAGGGTCATCAATCAACTGAAATTGAACCCCCTGAGCCATAAGGATATCCCTAGCCGGGTTCATAAGAACCATCTCGCATGTCGAATGAGACCCACTTCTAGTAGCCCCATCCCACATACAAACCACCCTAGTAGGCCCTACCAGACTTAGGTGTTGCACGACAGGTAAAGAAGGTTGAGGAGCTCGGCCCACCGGCAAACTTACCCATTCCTCATATTGCTGATTGAACTGGCGCATCAAAGCAGGGATTCCAAACTGTTTGCCTTCAAAGACAACCCAGTTACGTGATCGCCAGATCCTCCATAGGATGACGAGAACCGCAATGAACAAAGACGATTGATGGATTAAAGCCAGCAGCCTTTTAAGAAATAATGGAAAAGTATGACGAGGCAATCCCTCCCCTAGATACTCCAGTCCCACATAGCCCCAAAAGGCACACGCCACAGGCAATCGAGAAATCGATGTTCCATCGTCTCAGGACTATCCCAGCAAAACGGGCATCTGGGATGCACAAGGACTTTTTTTTTATCAATGAGGGCTTCAGTAGTCGGAAGGATTCGATTGAGGATCTGCCAGACAAAAATTTTCAGTTTAGGGGGAATATCAGCCTCCCACAAACGAATCCAATTATACTTATCCATCCAACTAGTTGTAGACCTCCAACGACCCTACCTCATATCCACAGAGACAGCTAAATGGTAAGCCGATTTAACAGAGAAAACCCGGCAAGTATATCATGCCAGATCAGCCTATCCTCCACATTCTGACGTGAAAGAGAAATAGCTTTGATGGCACGACATGTAGACGGGTCAAACCATTGGCCAAGTTTGAGGTCACACCAACGCCCCTCCTCCTGACAAATAACCTCAGCCACTGGCAGGTCACCCCCGTCCGGTAAGACTTGCGGATTAGACCTAGGGGGATCAGGCTGGAGGCGAGGTATCCAGTTGGAATAAAGTAGTGAAGCAAACCGACCATTACCAATTTGCTATCTTAAGACCCTTTCCAACAATTGACGACCAAACAAGACACTCTGCCAACCCCACGAAGGGCGAGAGTGAGCCGTAGTTTTGAGGAAGTCACATTCGGGAAATATTTCCCTTTGTAAACCTGGACAAGAAGAGACTGAGGTTCACTAAGGATACGCCATCCAATTTTGGTTGAAAGAGTCTGATTAAAATGTTCGAATCGGCGAAATCTCATTCCCCCATCATGCTTACTCCTGCACATATTGCGCCAGGACATCCACCGAATTCTCGAATGGCCTTCTTCGATACCCCACCAGAATTGGGCCACATGTTTGTCCAATAAACGTCACAAAGAGATAGGTAATTGAAAACACAAATAATATATATACCAAACGCTATTATCTACAATATATCAAATTCAACAATACATGTATATGTATTGCTCACAATACAACGATTTAACAATCGGCGAAACCAAACTACACCTAAAACAACTGAACTTAGCCGAGGCTGAACATTAGCTAGTAAGCAAGTGTCCGAGAAATAAAGGCCAAGTTGAGATATTACTGGCAACTTGTTCACCTGTTTGTTAACCAGAAGCCAGAAAGTTGTGGGAAAGGCATCACTTGATCAGACTGCAAAACCCAAACAGAGTTCACAAGAGGGGGAATTCGGAGGCGAGATAAACTCACTCCAAATCTCCAATGAGGGTCTCCGTCCGATGCTTTCGGGAGCTCCAACAACCATCTCTCTGAACGACTCTCTGGCTCTCACAATCTGAACGATAGGGCTTTTGGCAATAGCATGCATCCAAAGGATAATACCAGATAGGATGCTGCAGGTTCTCTGTTTGTGCTCACACATTGGCGACTCGTGAATTCAAGGGAATGTGTGCCATAATGCAGATATAAAAAAAAAAAATGGCAGTGGTTCTGTCCGATGCAGGTGAGCAGGAATGCCATTGCTCAGGAAACAGCAAATAAGTGCAGATGGGTTGAACTTGATTGATACGCAGTGATATTAACTGTAACCTTCATTGCATTATTAATGGCAATAAGATCTTCCAAAATCCATGAACACCAATCTCTTTGTGCAACCAGATATAGGCCATGGAAGGTAAGCTACTACTACCTCCTATTTGCGTTATAGAGTTGTTTTCCCTTCAATGAGGTCCAGCAAATGCAGAAAGAAAATTAACTCTAAGCAGCAGAAGGAAAAACATGCAGCTGGAATCAGTTCAAGCCCAAAAAGCAATTCACTTTGGTCAGTTTGAAGCTTCAGGTAGGTAGTTCTATGAAGAATCAACTGGTCTTTCTAACCAGAAGGAAATCCAAGGCAGTCACAGCAATCAGTGATAAACTTCAACCCAAATTCAATGTCAAAGATTGCAAAAATTTAAAGCAACTTTGAGGAATAACCCAGCAACAAAAACAACATAAACCAAGGGCACTGATTTGATTACTGACTCCAAACTGGGTTTACTTACAAGACAAAGATAGAACATACAGGAAACCCCAATGGATCATCCAATCCCCAATTCTATAGATAGTAAGCAATCCATAACAGAGACGGAGATTGAGATCGCCGCCGCCAACACACACTCACCACAAAGAGCCCCAAATACCCTTTTTCCCAGTTTGTTCTCTTAAACGTGCAACAGGGCAATCTGAAGTGGGGGAAGGAGAGAAAAGGGAAAGAGAGAGAAGGAAAGGGAAAACCTAAAAAGTTCTTTGCAAGATGGGGATCAGAAAACCGAATCACCGCCTGGTGCTGTCGTAATCGACGACCTCCGAATCGGTGACGGACCTGGAGTGCTGCACGATCGACCTGCCGATGGAATTGATCCACTCCTCCTTCTCCTTGTCGGAATCGGCGACGAAGTACATGGTATCCTGATTGGTGGAGAGCTCGAAGGCGAAGGGCTTGTTGAGGATGTCCTCGGCGCCTTTGACGGTGAGGCACTTGCCGACGGCGATGACGCCGCGGGGGACGGAGGCGCGGGTGACGACGCTGTCCTTGAACCAGAGGAGCTTCCCTTGCTTGAGGATGAACCAGCGGCGGCGCCAGGTGCGGATGTACTCGCCCTGCTTGGTGAGCCAGCCGGAGCGCTCCGGGTTGGACCAGAACTCGATGTCGCTGTAGTCTTCCGGGCTCGGGTCCTGCCGGGTTATGGTTCGGAGGAGAGATTCCATCTCTTCTCGGGAGTGACGAGTAACGAGACTAGAGACTAGAGCCTAGAGGAGAGAGAAAGGAACGGAGAGAGAAGACGAACAGAACAGACTGATGCCTTTATTGATGGTTCCGTCTACTTCATTGGATCATACACTAGAGCATGGAGCAATTATTATTTCCTCTCTTTTCTTTTCCTCCCCCTATACTTTGTACTATACTAATTGGTGCGCGGATAGGAATAATTTTTGTCCAAGCAATCAGTTTAGTGATTACACAACAGATTTAATATTGTAATTTTTTAATAATCTATGATATTTTTACTCTCTTACGAGTTATAACTCAACTGATTAATCAGTGGTGCAGAACCAGTGATGTAGTCAGAAATATTGTTTTTTTTTTGAAGGAGTCGGAAATATTGTTAAGGTGACTCGAACAATGACATATGTCGTCGTGAACGGTTAGCATCAAACGACAGTCGACAACCTAACTAAGATATTGGGGAACGACATCATGTCATAGGCGGCGTTTTCGAGAAACAAGATGAGGTTTTTTTTGCCATTAAACATATGGTGAATACGCTAGGGAACGACGAGCGACAAGCTGACAAACCGAGCAGCTTGAAGTTGAGGGCTGACATGATTATTAGATTGAGGTTGTGGTTGTGGGAATTCAGGAATCGTGGTCCGTGAGTAGAAGAGAATAGATTGGTCATAATTTGGGGGAGATCGTATTTGGAATTCTGATAGGTAATAAAAGAAACGTGCAGTCGTGTTTCTTGGTTTGATGTAAAAGATAGTATTGAATAAGAAATCATATGTTAAAACATAAAAATAAAATGACTTGGAACTTAACAATTTTAATATGTTATAGTGAAGGGCGTTTGGCAGTTCGATAACCCTTATAAAATATATATGTTTACTTTTTTATAGTTAGGTACTACTTCAGGGCTATTATTTATAATTTTTGTTTGTGTGTTGAGCCAAGGTGGTGTAGCCGACCCACCTTGACCTGACGTGGCTCCACCTTCAAAATTCAATTTTCATCCGTCTATTTTAATGCAATTTATTGGCTCAAATTAATTCCCAACAAAAAAAATATAGGCAGAGATGTCATTTTGCACGCCCCTTTTTCCTTTTTCTGACGGTTTAACGCGAAAAAGCAAAGGAAAGAGGGGAGATAGCTAGAGGAGAGAGATGAGACAGTTGACTAGTCAACAACTACTTTTTCTAATCCCCTATTTTTCTTAATCGAATCTTATAACATTTGTATTAACATGAAACTTAAAAAAATTTGGATAGAAAGAACACATTAATTATAACTTATACAATGATATCCCTTTATCAAAAAATTTATGATCTAAACAATGATATCCCTTTTGCTATATTTGTAGCAAAGAAAAAAATTAACCTTTCAAAACACGCGTGAGTTGTAGTATTATCACTATCATATCAATCATATCGTTGTCATATCAATCATATAACTATCGTATCAATCATATCGATGTCATATCATGGTATTATATCACTATGGTATAGTGATAATATCAATCATATCAGTGACATTGGCATATCATGATATTATCACTATGATATAGTAATAATTGGTGTGACCCAGTGTGGGTTATTTATTTGATTGCACGATTTGTATTAACTAACTCATCTTGAGCCAAGTATAACTCAAGACGGCGTTGTTAACATAGTGGTTGGACAAGGTCGTAGTTCACGGTTTTCGATGCCTTATGTACTTCTCACTTTGTTGTTATCTACTCGTTCGGTATACGGTTGTTTTGGAGGTCAAATCGAAAGTATTGGTGGAGAAAGCAAAGATAAAAGCAGGTACTTCAGGGTATCACTCTCACCCTAATTTTAAGTCTATCATGCAAATGGTTCATAATGTCGAGTTTGAGGAAATAAGGTGCAGGGCTCACTAAAGTGGGGACTAGCTCAATGGTCATGCAACTAGCCCCCCTCTTAGCACGATTCCTTGACCCAATGTCACCTCAATCAAGTTCACGATACAAGGGATGCGTTCTAGAAAATTCCATCTACATTCAAAAGCTAATTCTAGGATTTGGGGATTAGATCCATAGTACCTTACAGAACTATCACATAAAGGGGGGAAGAAGATATGTAGGAAGAATTAGAAGAAGACTTGGCTTGGGAGAGAGCTCTCTTGCTTCTTGACTCCTTTGTATTCTCTTCTTCTCTTCCCTTCAGCTTTTCTCTTAAACCAGAATTTTTTCCAATGATTTCAGCTCCCTTGTGAAGGGAAGGGATCCCCTATTTATAGAGTTCAGGCTGTAGGCCAAGTTCACGGCTGGACAGGGGAAGATCTCAACCGTGATCATTGGCGGAGAGGTCGAGATTGCAACCTTTATCGCGGGCATGGACAATGAGAGCCGCGAATTCGACTGGCAAAACTCTCTGGTCCCCCCTTGGTGGCTGCTTCTAAATTTTGACAATCGTCTCCACATTTCGCAGGCGCGATCTCGACACTAGAGGTCGCGATCTTAGAGCTCTTGATAACACTTGAATTGGTGTTATTTATCCTTCATATTAAGGTTTGTTTTGTTCCAATTCATGTGCATAATTGTTTGAACAACGTCAGTTGCATTCCTATTTCGTTCCTATTTGATTTTGGTGTGATTTTAGGGTGATTTAGACAATACATGCAAATTAGGTACGAAAAAGAACACAAGTGTAGCAAAAGGGGCACAAGACTGAAGATCACGGACTAGAGATGGACATCATGGCCGAGTTCATAGCCTACAAACTCAAGGTGAAGATCGCGGCCTGGAAGCCCAAGATCACGACCGCGAATTGGAAGGCTCAAGGCGTGAACTTCGTGAAGAAGCATCCAAGGAGAAACAAAGAGTTTCCCCAGTTAGAACACAAACATAGTGCAAACTGACTGCGAGGAAGTTCGCGACCGTGACACGTGGATCGCGACCGTGAAGTCAGCCCCCGAACTCCTCGTCCCCAAAGGCCGAAACGACAACGTAGTAAGATCGCGACCTCCATGAAGAAGATCACACCCACGATCTCTGCCCTTTCCCCCATTCAAGATAGTTTATTTGGAGATAGAATTTATGATTTTAGAGAGAGAGAGAGAGAGAGAGAAAGAGAAGAGAGAAAACCTGAAGGAAGGAGAAGAGGATAAGAAGGAGAAGGAGCTAGAAGAGAGGAACTATATTTCTCAACATCAAGTCTTCTTCCACCCCTTATATGTATCTTCTTCCCATCTTTATGAAGTAGTCCTCTAAGGTACTAGGGGTTCTAAACCCCAAAACCTAATTTTATGGTTACTGTGTAATGAATGGATATTTTAGGATTTTAATGAATGAATGTGGTTATCTATTTGATCGGCATGCTATTATATCTTTGATTGTGTTTAGGTAAGTCACCCTAACTTCTCTCCTAGTCTACTTGAGCTTCTACGTTGTGTATGGAGTTTTAGGTTTAGACGGGTATGCGTCATCAAGCAAATTGAGGTTAGATGTATGAATAGGATCCTATGGTGGACGAGGAGCCCGAACCCCTGCAATAGGAATGCCTTCCTAGATAGAACCCGGGATGAAACCTCGGTGTGGATGGTGGGTAATACCCATTGAAAGTATCTATGTTCTTATTGCCACAGATACGATAACATAGATCAAGGTGACTTACATGGGTTTAGGGGAGGCGTCTGGATACCACAAAAGCCCATGGAAAAGAGCTCACTCACCACATTCAACAAACCCTAATTATCTAGACATTGCATAGTAGTCCTAGGTTAGGGTGAGGGATAGTTCCCCGAAGTACCTTCATTTATCTTTATTTGATTTTTTGACTAGTTAGTTCGCTCATATCCTCCACACAAACCCTTAAACCGATCAGCTAGATAACAAAAAAGTGGGAAGTAGGCTAGGATACCAGGACCCGAGTGAATATGACATTCATTGCCACTATACAACAACACCATTTTAGGTTAGACTTAGCCTAGGATGGGGTAGTTGTAGACACGTGCTAACCACTGCCAATAATATGCACGGATGAATGTGATTGGCTCGGATTCACGCCCTCTCTTCCTGGCCATGATCTCCTTGCTCTTGGTTGTGATCTCTCATTTTTTCACATAATCCTACACTTGTGACCACTTTTTCGCACCTAAACCTTTCATATCATCTAAAACACCCTAAAATGACAATAGTCTCTTTGAGGAACGAAATAGGGATGTATTCGATGACATATCAACAAATGATACCACGAAATGACTCCAAATGATCCTAAATATGAGGGCTAAATATTATCCACCTATGGAGAAGATGGATATCCCTTTAGCGGCTAAAGGTGTTGCCTTGCTTCCTTGTCCCTCCTCTTGTTTGGATGGTTGGTCGTTGAAGTTTCCGGCTGGTAGGTCGGTTTTTGGATCGAAACCTCCTCTTGCATGCATCCTTCTTCTCTTTCCTCGTTGTTCACGTTCATTGCTCCCCTTGTTGCACGCCGGTTGGTTGGCACTGGAAGATGGAATAAAGTACCCTCCATATCCAATCTTATAACCGGTACACGTTGAAATCTATCATGTCGGTCATATTGGGGATGGTGAATGATCAATCGATAAATTTTCTACTATTTTAACACTACGGGAAAAATGGCCTATTGCAACTCCAAAAATGTGTTGGGAAAAGTCACAAAAGAGTTGCAACATCCAAACGCAACACTTTTACTGGGGTTGCATATAGTGGGGGTTGCAAAAACAATAGGCAACAGTTTTTTAAATTTTCGCAACTAAAATAAAAAGGGTTGTGTATTCTCACCTCTTTGGCAACACTACTTTAGGAAACATATTTTAAACATTTCGCAACACATTATACGAGCATAGACAACATTTTTACAAGTTTTTTGCAACATTTAATTTTTGTATCTATGACGAGTTCAAATTGTCACGAATAGTTAAACCAATTGTGATAACTTTGTTTGTAACAGATACTAGTATTTGTGTGACAATATTTTCGTCAATTAAAATAATTTTTGTGACGAGT